ATCTCATTGTTTATATATAAATGCAACTCAACTGCTTAAAAAAGATATCTTGTAATAATCATTTTTTAATTCCAACATCATACACCAAAAATAAATGAATATCGAAAATAATAATTGTGTAGTAGTATGTATGTATGTATGCATGCATGCATGCATGTAACATCTTTAAGAAATTAATGAAAACTTACAATAAAAAATAAATAAAAAAATTGAGAATGAAAGAACAGAACTCCTAATTCATCCATAGCCTCATGCTTTCTTTACAAATAATTTAATGAAATTGAAAGAATTTCTTAATAATTTTAAAAACGCATATTGATTCAGAGAAAAAACTAAAAGTATTATTTATTGCCTATTTCTTCTAAGTAAAGAGAATTTGATAAATCCCTAACCATTTACATGACTAGTACAATAAACTGCACATAAAGGTCAGAGTAGATAAAAATATTCGATTTTTTTCCTCTTACCTTTCATGTGCAGCTCTTTCTCCAAGAAGCATCAACAGGGTTAGAGCATTTATAAATGGAAAGCGTGCAAGAACAAAAAGGCAGAACTTAATAGCCGGCTTTTTCCATTTAACAACAGACATAATGAGATGGCATAAAAAATTTTAAAAAAGTTACTGGTTTGGTTTCCAAATTGATTAATTTTTTTCGCAATTTATTTTTACTTTTAAAATGAAGGTGTGTCTTTTGCCTGGAGCCACCACTGCAAGTATTAGAGGAGTGTTACTTCACTTATTTCTACCAGGTTTTGTGATTATGATAAATTTTTATACATCGCTGATAATTACAGTATGAATGTTGCACAGCGCGCGCATACATGTAACAAAAAATACATTTGTAAAATAATAGCAGGAATCCGGTCACTTAAAGGGAAGTTATTTCCCCTAGGAAGTAGAGACAAGGGAAATTACTCGCGTCGACAGCCAATAAAAATTCTACAAGTACAAATCAAAATACTTGTGGAGAAAAAACTTGTCAGTATATTTTAGTACTTAAAATTTACAAAAGAAGACAAATCTGTTATTAAAATATAACAGTTTTTATTTATATTTTTTAAGTTACTGTTAGCTTTCTTTTCTTACATTTGAAACAATGAGTCACAGGTAGCTGATTGTGGCTTGATGCATAACAAACTTATATAGATATTAGAATAGCTGCAAGAATATTATCTTTGTTAGTTATTATTTTTATTTTAGTTGTTATTTTCATATGAAACATTATTATTAATATTAATTTTGGCTAGTATTGATTCATGATTAAATACATCAACATGGTAGAGTTTCTTGCATGTTCCTATAACCCAGATAACTAGACTGGTAGGTCCAACCTAACAAGACAGGTTTAAATACATTAGTCACCTAGAGAAGAAACCTCAATGACAAAAAACTGGGACAGGCAACAGCTCTCCAGTTGCATCTATAGGCAAGCATTATTGGATCAATACATTGGCTTAGTGTAGTGATTGACAGTGGATAATAAGCAACACAGTCAAGTACAGGGTGGTCTGAAATTCTTGTCATCCTAACATAATATAATTTCTATTTCAGATGGCTGATGCAAGTTCCTACAGTTTAGAAAAGAGGTAAGGGGTAACAAGACCCATTGTAGTTAGCTGAATACTGGGAGTTACAACCACTACTACTGAATCATACTTACAAAGTAAGTGTGAAAGCAATTGAAACACAGTATGACTAGAAAATTCAATTCTTCATACCACATTTCTTATCATGTGTGTCAGCAAGGAGTACATCTATAGTGTTTGTGAAGGAAAATTTTAAATATTTAAATTAAAATTTGGTAAAATGAACAAATTATATTATTATTAGAACATATTCTATTAATTCATTTCAGGCAAAATAAAAAGCTTTCTTTTTAAAATTATTGATAAAATACAATATCTCTACTAAGTGGATACCAACTTACAATAAAATTTAATTACCATAATTCCCCATGGATAATACACTTCATCAAGTGTGGGAAAATGCTTCTACTCATGCATAATACGCACCCTTGTTTGGTAACCAAACCCTATATATTGTACGTCTCCAATTTCATTACAGCCAGCATTTCCTACTCTTATTTAAAAAAATGGTTTTAAACATAGAATAATATTATTATTCTAATTTAGGTTTACAATAATTCTTATTTTACAGCAATTTTTTAAAGATTTTTTGTAGCTGTGCATAATAAGCACACTTGATTTTGTTTATTAATTTTTAGAAATATATGCATATTATACATGGAAAATTATGGTAATACATCATTTATGGAAACACATAGCATTTAAAACATGTCAAATTATTATTCTGCAAAGTTTCAAAATTTTGGTATACACCTAAAGTTTCTGCTGATGCAAACCTATTTCTTTGTTTGCTTTTATTGTCTGAATTACAGGAATCTTTACAGTTGTCAGAAGATTAAATCTAACATTTAAACTTATCCATCATTATTTCTTGATCTCTCTCATCCAAAATTTGTTATTTTTTTTACAAAAAATTATTTTTCACTTTTAAATCTATATGCAATGATTCTGATATACATAAAAAACATGCACATAACAGACTACACTTGATGTCTTTATAGATCATGGCCAGAAAATTTTTGTAAATAATAATAACAGCATCATCTTTACTTACAACAATATATTTGAAGATACAATAACAAGAGAATTCTGCCAGTCCATTAAAACAAAAATATTTTATGCAGGGAGGTGTCTAACAACAAATTATATTTTATATTTCAGTGTGATTCTATACAATGGTACATTGAGTATCAAAACAGAGTTACTTGACAGTTTTCCTTTGATTTTATAACATTAAAACTTTGTTAAATGCTTCCTTCAGCAGCATTTAAGCTTCATGTCAGGTTACTTCCTGTTTATAGAATTTATATTATAATTACTTGCAAATGTTAATTATCACTGAACTCCTTATAATTGTTATTGTTTCCGTATTTTCTCAGATAAGATCTTAATATCTGGTAATTAATGCTTGGTAAATGGGCTTCAACCCAGCAGCCTCAGATATCATGCAATTTTCCTCTGACTCTAACTGTTCATCACTTCTAAATTATTCTTGTCATTCCTAAAAGGCTCCCTATCTGCAACTGGGCAATTAATTCAAATTTTCTTTACCCATGTCTCTATTCACTATACCAAGTGCTCAAATGACAACTGGTATGACTGTGACTAACAAGTTCAAACAACAGTGGGTCATAGTTGGTTACTTTCTCTTGTTTTTTGCTTAACCCTTCCTTTTTTTATCTTCCACCAATAAGTCCAGTTTGCTGTGCTCTAGTTTCTTATCTGTTTGTATTGAAAACTCATACAAAATCTTAATTCCTTTTGTTGTTGAAAACTGCACATAACTTCCAATGAATTACTACTACTACTATAAGCAGCAGCTCATATTTCTCTTGGAATTTGTGACAGAATTGACTTGACTCACATTGTTGCATAATGAACAGTGTTTTGCTCCTCCTACAGCTGTTTTTTTAGAACAAAATTCAGAAACACTAATAAGTTTTGAGTGTAACCATTTGTCCTCATAAAAATTTGTCTGATATTTTTGTCGCATTTGCAACAAATGATAGGTTGGTTAGAAAAAATTTCCTTAAAATTTTGAAAGTGCTGCATGACAGCTATCAATATATTTTACAAAAATATCTACATTTTAAGGACATTTTTCCTAACTTGCTTATTGTTTCCTTCACATATATAAAAATACTAGTATTTCAATTTTCACAATTATCTAAGGATGAATCTTTAAAAAAGATGATATATTTGCTTCCTATTTATGCCGAGTAAAAATTAATAAAAAAAACAATAAAAGTTTATATTTTTAATTATTTTGTTTAAATTATTTTGATGTACAGTAAAAAAATGTTCCTCAAAATAAAAATATTCTTTGGTAAGATAAATAATGATAAAAAGAAATAACTTTCACCAAACACTCACTTTATATCAATGACTATTGTCCAGGATACGCACATACTGTTAACATAAGAGATAATGTTGTATATGATTTACACATTTCTAACCAAACTGCAAATCACACATGATGCATATATTTCAACCAGCTTTAATAATGTACATCAATAGTAATCTATTTGATAATGAACATAGTAATAGTAGAAAAGTGTTTCTTAAAATGATGGTATTTCTAGTTAAAGTAACTTATTTAAAATAAAAAAGTATTATTAATGACAATAATTAGAAAATTAGTATTCAAATAAATGAATAATTATCTTCAACAGAGTAAAATTTTAAATAAAGTTAAAAAAAAAACGTTAATTTTATATTGCAATCGTTTACTTAAATCCTTTTATGAAAAGAAAACCTTAGCATGTTTTATTGCTCTTCTAGAAACTTTTTAGAGGAATGATTTTTTTTAAGAATGAGTAAAAAAGCTATTCTTAAATTTAATTTCACGTAGCTGGTCCTGAAAAATACCTGTAGTGTAGTGTATATTAAGAAAGAATTGATTTCTTTTTGAACTCTTCATGAAAAAGCAGCTTTCCAAAATTTAAAAGGATTTATAAAGAAATAAACGTTCTGAAATTCTTATTTTGACCCGATATTTGTAAAACTCAATAAGTAACCTTGTTTTGGGGTTTGTTTTTTTTTATTTCTGTCCAATTAAAAATCTTGTTTTGTTTTTTAATTAGGGTTAAAGAAAATATATTTCGCTTCGGCTTATCGAATTATTTTGATATGGTTGTTGAAATTGTATTGTAATTAAATTGTACCTAGTGAGTCACGCGGAAAAGGGAATAGGTTTGATCATGAATGAATACCAGTTTCAAGCTATGACCAGTGGCCCAGGTAAAAACACTCAGGTCCCCACGTTAAAAACTGACCTTGTGTTACAATTCAATGGGGGGGGGGGTTCAAGTAAATATCTACATTCTACATAATTACCGAACGCGATGAATGGTTTCCTTTTTAAAAGATATACCTTCGTGCATTAGAGAGTTCCATGTAGAGTAGCAGACGTAATGTCCTACTTGGGACTAAATGCCAGGTATAGCTCGGAGAAACATTGTTTTGTACACATTGCCCGTTCACTTCTGCATGCTCAGCTTCATTTAGACAGTAAGGTAAGGTTCTATTTATTCATGCTTGCTTCCAGAACTTTTATTTATTGCAGAGTTAATAGTTTTCTTTTAAATATATCAAAGTGTGTGTTGTGTATCCTATCCACATTAACACTGCTGACATTACGAGAGGAGTGATCAGTCATTCATGTAGCAATGATAGTTATTTGTTGTTGTCGTCATAGTTGTTAATTTTACACCTTTTATGGCTTTATTTATATTTACTTTATTTTAATACTTTGCTTTGTCAATATTTCGTATACCGCGCAGTTAGTTTTTAATTGTCGACAAAGAAAACTAGGGCATGTTGTTCTTGACAAAACAAACATTTTCAACTCAACAACACTGTTCATCAGATAACAATAACATTATTAACAACTTACATTACGAATGACTTTGAGGAAATTTATTTTTAATCAACCCTTTCCCTTTTTTCCGTCAGTTTCAGTGTTGTAATAATCATCTAGCTAAAACTTAAAAGTATCCTTTTTCATGTAGATACAACCTAAAAAGGAATTTTGAATGGAATTTACAAGTGTTCAATTTTTTCGAGCCGAACTTTACAGTTGAGTTGAGTAATCGACGAAAATTATTTTTCTTTTCTTTTTAATTAACCATCTTTTATTCGATCTGTATTATTTGATTTCTGTATTACAAGATTTCTGGTAGATCTTCTTTTCACTTTTGGTCTAAAAACTCTCTACTCTAGTCAATTTCTTTTTCTACATACTTTTTTATTTTAAATTTAAAAATACGTCTTAACTTTACTTTTTAGTTTTTAATGTATTTTTGTACATGTTTCACAATTGCACATTTTAATTCGGTACATTCTGGATTGCATTGTTTCCGTTTTTTTCTTTTTTGTTTTTTTTGTATACATTCAAAATTTCTACTCAATTCTAAAACTATTTTTTTCATTTTTGTGATGCAACATTGGTTGAATTTTACACATTACTGGCCAAAAAGGGATTTGCCATCTGTTTGTTTGTTTTTTTAATTGTCTTTTAGGAATTTTAATAAGCATTAATTTAAGAAATTGCAATGGGTGAAAATATTTTAATCTTAAAAATTATATCTACCGGTAAAACCACGCATGTAAAAATGAAATTCTAAGTCTGTTTGTACAGTTACACACATACAATGGACAGTGTTGTATGTATTGTAACTGTATTGTATTGTTGTACATAAAATAATAATTAATAATACATTGTACAAAGATTGTGTTGTTCTTACGAGATTTTATGATATGCGCTGTTAGCTTAAAAAAAAATCGGACTATATCCTGAAAAGTATGAAGAGTAGGTTATAAAATACTCATTACTTCAGGAATTAATTCTGTATTTGAGTAGGAGTTAATTTTTTTGGATTTCAATGTACTGTACTTGCACGCGGACAATCATGTGTATGCGATTGATTTTATGTATGCGTTTTTTGTGCGTATATCAGGCAAAGAGTGCCACATTTGTTCAAGTCTTTTTCCTTTAGTATAAAATAAATTTTGACTTGAACAAATTTATAAAATTTTTAATAGTTGGGTGGGAAACTTTATGTTACCTACGATAAATATACATAAAAGTGGAGTTAAAAGAACATAATTTATTGCTTTTAGAGATAATCACACTTTAACGCAAGTCCCGTCACCTGACTGTATATCGAGCTTAACGTAAGACGACAGGTCACTTGAACTTCCACTCTATCCTGTTTTTACATTTTTTTAAAAATAAATTTTGAGGTGTTATTTTTCAATTTTCATTACCTTATATTAAAAAAATATTAAATATTAAAAAAAAAAACTATTTGCAGTCTCTCCTGGATAATGCAAATAACTAATTTATAATTTTTTTTTACTTTCCCCACTTCCAATAGTTAGTATTTTTGATTAATTTAAAAAAAAATCAGTAATTAAAATTAAAAATGATACAAATTATGAATGTGAATTTCATGCTTTATTTTTGATGAATTTTTCTGAATATTTTGTAAATGTTTTGCATTCTTCTGCAATTACCTCATAACTAATATACAAAAAGAAAATATTAGGTTCTAATTAAAAAAATATTTTGATTTTTTTTTTTTTTTTTTTTATTCACTTCCTACCCTCCTGTTTTGTTTGTATTGATCGAGATGAATTATACAAGTTTTGTTGCAGTTCAGTAAACTGATATTTTTTTGTTTGATTTATTTTTTTTTTTTCTTCATATTGAATCATTGATTGATACTAGACTTGAATTGTTATTAATAAGTCCGCATTTAGATCTGGGTCAGACATTTCATAAATTGTAAACTTTATAAAATTTTTACCTATCAACATGATTTTTGCAACTGAATCTCTAACTTGAAATATCCATGTTTTATTGATCATACCACCACCCATTAAACTACCACTTCTTTTATTTAATGAAATCATAGAGTTTAAGTTTCAATTTCACAAGAAAGAGTATTTCTTTATTTTTACACACAATAGAAAATAATGAGAACGCTTGCAAATATTTTATTTGCAAGCAGTCGTTGATTTAAATTGAGAAGATATAATAAACAAAGTAACCCGAGTGTTGGTTTTCAATAATAGGTTTATAATCGGATGTAGGTGTGTCAAATACAGAGACAGAGTCGGGAGTATGCTAACCTCAATAGGTGTTAACAAACGAAGACTTTTCGACTGTCCGCTGTGGTCGTACTTAATCGGCAACCAGTCCGTCCATTATCGTGAATGGGGAAGTTGGGTTATATCATCACAACACCTCCCCCCGAAGCTGAAATTCTCCCTTTTGAAAATTTCTGCTTCTAATGTCGTCTTCTTTTTGGATCCGGGCTAAAACGCTCCACTGGTTTTCTTTCCCGTGTGCTCCTTCTTTTAGTCGTCACAATTAGATCCTTTTTTGGCGAAGATAATTTCCGCTTTTCAGCCCGTAAGGCTGGTCCATGAGATACAGGTTCATATACACTATTGGGTAGTGTCATGTTAAAAGCATCGCATAACACTTCCATCGGAATTTCTTCTTCGCTTTTTTCACTTTCTTCACCATATCGTGGTCTAATCTGATTGATGTGTCTTTTACACGTAAATTTTTTACTTTTAATCGTGTAGACCACTTTACCAATCCTTTTCTGGATTATGCCATCCATCCAATAGCTTTTTCCACTTTTAAAATTTAAAAAAAAAACTTTGTCTCCTGAAGTGTATTTTTTTATGTTGACTTTTTCCTCTTTCTTAGCAACTTTTTTGTTTTGATAGGGTAACAATCTATCGAAAATTGATCTAATTTTCCTTGCGAACATAATTTCCGCCGGTGACATTTTCGCATCGTTGTTCTCATTAGGAGTTACCCTATAGATTGCTAAGAACTTCTGAATAGTTCTTTCTTCCGTGTCCATACCTTTATTTTTACGTAAAGCACGTTTAAAAGTGTCAACAAATTTCTCGGCTTGACCGTTCGACCTGGGATGACACACTGGTGTAGTTATGTGTTCAATGTCTAAGGCAGTACAGAAATCCTTAAACTCCATACTTGTGAACGCCATACCATTGTCGCTAACCAATGTCCTGGGAACCCTGAAACGACTGAAAATTTCATCCAATGCACTGATGGTGTTCCTAGATGTAGGATGCTTGCACTTGACTACCTCAGGCCATTTCGATAAAGAGTCCACCAATATCAAATAATAGTACCCATTAATTGGTCCAGCATAGTCTATATGTAGACGTGCCCACGGCAAATCCGTTTTCGGCCAAGGATTCATTTTGACCGGAGGTGCCCTTGCAGCCAATTGACAACCTCTACATAGTCTTACAAAACCTTCAATATCCTTGTCCATTCCTGGCCAGTATACGTAACCACGCATGAGTGATTTCATCCGAGACATTCCAGGATGACCGGTATGAAATTCTTTCAGCATATCTGTACGTAGAGATTGAGGTATAACAATTCTATCTGCGTACATCAACGTGTTGTCGCAAATTGAAAAAGGTGAAATCTGAGTTCCCTTTTTCTGTCTTTTGTTCCATCTCGTCTGGTTCCTTAATTTCACAATATAGTGATCTTTTTTTCCGCTTCTTTTTTATTTGGTCCAAAGTTACCGGCAATTCCCTGATTGTATTCAACAAGAGACCTGATATTTCTTTTTCCTCAGTTAATGCTGCTATAACCGTCTCTTCTAAAATTTCTTCATTTTTTGGAATCAGCCTTGACAATCCATCCGCATGCCCATGTTCTTTAGATTTGACGTATTCCATCCTAAAATGGTAATTAAGCAGGGTTACACCCCATCGCTGTAAGCGATTAGCTGTATGCGTAGGAATGCCTTTTTACCTCCAAATATTGTAAGTAACGGTTTATGGTCCGTTTGAAGTACAAATGATCTACCATGTAAAAAGCGATGGTATTTTTTAACCCCGAACACAATCGACAAAGCCTCTTTCTCGATCTGGCTATAATTTTTTCAGCCGGAAGAAGAGTCCTCGACGCGTGCGCGATCGGTTTAGTAGTGCCATCTTCATATTTGTGTAGCAGTGCAGCACCCCTCCGTACAAACTTGCGTCAGTTGCCAGAATGATCTCTTTCTCAGGATCATAATGTGCTAAGGCGAGATCTGAGAGTAGGCATTTTTTTATTTTCTGAAAAGCCGTCTCGCAATCTTTTGACCAAAACCATTTCTTGTCTTTTTTCAACAATTCGTTAAGGGGGGGCTCTTAAATCATACATTTTAGGTATGTAGATTGCATAATATTGTGCCAACCCCAGAAACGATTGTAGTTTCGCAACTGTGTCGGGTGCAGGCATGTTCTTAATTGCATCGGCTCTCTGTGGGTCCGGTTTCCTGCCTTCACTGTCTATCACCTGTCCGAGGTATGTAATTCTTTCCATGAAGAATTTACACTTCTCGTGGCTTAATTTAAAGCCAAAATCTTCTAGTCTTTTGAATATCGCTCTGATGTGCGTTTTATGTTCTTGAACATTCTTACTTTTGACTAGAATGTCATCTAAATAGGCGGTACCAAACTCAAG